TATAACTATGATAATAAATATAATAAATAAAATAATGATAAATGTTATAATAATGAAAATGAATATCACAATGATAGTTGTGATAGTAGTGAAATTGGTGAAAACGGTAATCACAATTTTCCTAGTGATCATTGATGATATTAGTTGGTGCAGTCATTTAGTTGCGCAAACAGATTATCACTAACAGTGTGGATCTAGAAGAGCAGCCAAAAGAGCTTTTGAGAAGGTAGGTTCAAAATAGTGAATTAATGCCTTATACAAATTCTTTTTTACTTGATCAAAAAGTTCTTGAGTTTCAACAGGTATATTAATATTAATTTTAATTTTTTCTTGCAATTGAATTTGATCTTCATTTTTTTCAATTCTGGAATTTCATCAAAAGCATTACCAGTTTCATTAAGATCAAAATTATTTATAAAGCTAGTTGATGGATAAACCTTCGTCATGATTATTGCAATAGTAGGATTGATACTACTATAAATACAATATTTACTTCTACTAAATAATCTGTTACTTCTGCAAAATAAAAAAGTATTTTTTTTAAATCATGAATTAATAACCATTCATTTTCAGTTATCATTATACATCTTAATCTTTTTGCATCCTTATGAGATCAGAATCAGATTGAAGTTCAAGATAATTAAGTAATCCTTTGATATATCTCTTTAATTTCAAAAGGCAACACCAAGCTAGATAACTAGAATTCCATTAAATAGAAACATCAGCAATAGTATTAAGATAATTAGCAGTTTTAGAAGGATTCTAAAAATTAAAATTAAAAATATAAAATATAAGTAAGATGTAATTAAATATATTAATTAATAAAATATTTAAATAAATATATATCACAGGTTCTTCATCATCTTCGTAAATAGCAAGAGAAAAATGATTATTCTGAATTTTTTCAAGCCTTTCAGATTATTTAGGAATTATAAAAAAGTCTATTAAGTACTTTACACGTAATATTAAATTTTGTGCAACAAATAATCCTTTGCCTACTACTAGTTGTAATGTATATAAAAAACAGCCAATCCAATTAATTCCATTTAGTAATTCAACAACACATTTTTTTATATTGCTTGCATTATCAGTAGTAATTGTTGTTGTAAAATGACAAATTTTTCATTGTTGTAAAATATTTTTAATACATTCTGCTATATTTATAGCAGTATAAGAATAGCGAACATATTGAATAGTAAGAGTGATCTCCTTAAGAATAAAATTTGAATCAACATATGAACATGTGATTCTAATAAAACCTTTTCTATTTCAGCCAGTCCATAAATCTGTTGTTAATGATATAGATATTGCTTCATTTGTAATTTGTTCTACCATTTTTGGTTGTGTGTAATTGTATGCTTTGTAAATAATTGCTTTTATAGTTTTTGCCTCTAGTACTAGAAATGCAGGATCCAATTCATTACAAAAGATACGAAATATTGTGCTATTAACAACTGAAAATAGTTGTAAATCATCAATAATCCAATTGGTTAAAAATTGCCAAAGTTTAATTTGTTGTTTTTCTGGATGTTTTTTTATTACATTAAGTTTTTGTTGTTTATCCTATATATAATTATTAATAAATTAGATACAAAAATAATAATCAATAAAACATAAATTTTACTAATCTAAATATTATTACCTCAGACTGTTTTCCATCTTTAGTTATTTTATGAATAGACCATAAATGACCGATTTCATTACCTGTTGATCCATCATATTTAAGCTTTACATTACATGCTGTTCCATCTTCTTTTAATACTTGACAGATTATAAATGATTCGTTATTATTAGTAAGTTCAATAAAATGGGTCCATATCCAACTAGTTTTTTTCCTCTTATGTTTAATCTTTTTCCTTGACAGTTGAATGAAATCTTCTTGAGATAGTGTATCTGTGAAAGGAGTATTCAAAAAGGATATAATGCTACCTTGGTATTGTGACATTTTTTTTGAAATATGAATGGTATGATGATAAACCAATAATCTGATAGTTCTTTTGTATTTAATTAATTGTTATATATAAAAAAAAATTGAAAATAATAGAAGCATTGCATATGATAGTTGTTAATAAAAAGCAATCATCTTGCTGCTACAATTATTATATTATAGTATCTATTCATGAGTTGGTAAAATGAATTTTGATAATATACACGTTCAAATTCATTTTCTTTGAGTGATAAATTAAAAATTTCATGTCAAAAAAAATTGTATCGGTCAATTTTAATATTTAGTTACCAATTGGATTACTATAATTGTAACTTAACTACATTTAGTTAATACATTATAGTACAGAAATAACATAAGATTTAACGGTTTATCTGGATTTATCTGTTTGGATAAATGCTTTATCCGGATAACCATTCAATTGAAAAAATTTTGATCTGGATATCTGGTCTTAGCAGATATCCGTTAAGATAACTGGATATGTTAAAACTGGATACAAACACTATTCTATACATGCAAATTTTTGAAGTGCACTATAAACTATATTTAAAGTAGTATTAGCTCCTTTGGCTGTGCCTTTAGGAAATTCATCTTCTGCAATTAAAAAATTTAACTGATAATTTTGACTACCTTCAGTTTTGCATACACCAAATAAATGAACAGAAAAAGTATTTTTAAAATAAATGGTTCCTACTTGCTGTAGGGAATATGAAACTGATACATTTTAAGTCTAATCATAACTTATATGTGCTATTGACTTATTATTTTTATTTTCATTAATATTTTTATTATAGTGCTCACGTTCAAGATTTGCTGCTTTAATATGTAATTCATATTAATTTTTAATTTTATTATATTCATCAATATCATGTTTTACAATTTTTAACTCTGCTTTTAAAATTTTACAAGTTTCACATAAGTCACTCGCTGATGTTTGAAATTTTATTTGTGGTGCTAATTTATGCCAAAGTTTTATAAAAACATTATAAGAAATTATTATTTGACTTTGATCATGTTTAACATTCTTTATATATTTTTCATAAATTGATACATATGTATTTTCAGTTGGTAAATACCTGAATCATTTCGATGACGTAAAGGGAAGGTAAACCATGAATGTTACTATATTGAATTAAAAAATTTTTTACTGATGATGATTCATCTAAATTAATATAAGTACGTGATAAAAGTATTGAAGCATGACCAGTATTTCTATGTGTATGTTCCACTAAACCATTATCTTGTAAATATTTTTAAATTGTTAATAAATAATAATCAGTTTTTTCAATCAATTTTAAAAAAGTAGGTTTACAAAGGGAGAGGGAGTTATTAAAATTGTATTTGTTGTTACTCTTGAGGGATTTTTAGTTTTTTCATTGGTTATCTCAAATGACATTAGTTATGCTTTTAAAAGATTTCAAACTGGGATTTTTTAAAGAACGAATTTCAATGTCTTTTGAAAAATTTTTAAAACTAATTTTTTCATAACAAGTTCATTTATCCTTTTTATTTTTTGAACCTTCTCGACAATTACAATCCTTTTTTTTCAAAAAGTTCCATCAAATTTCGAATAACTTCAAAAATCAATTCATTTTTGGCATATTCATTTAATCTGAGACTAACTAAATCATATTGTTTTGAAGTAATTTCCATTGTTATGGATGATTGTATTGTATAAAAAAATTTTAGTTGGATAATTAATTGGATTGTGATTTCTTTTAACACTTTTTACAAGGTATAATTTTTTTTTATCTGAAGTTTAAACCATTTAAATAAAAAATTATTCAGTAATTTTCACTTATGCCAATCAACATTGTATTGTTTGAATTCTAGAATTAAACATTTATTTGGTAATTTACATGTTCGATGACATTCTCTCTCATGTCAATTAATATTGGTATTATTTTAATTCTATAATTAATATTTATTTGGTAAATTAAAAAAAAATTAAAAATTTACATGCATTTTGATGACATTTCTCTTATGCCAATCATTATATTATTTGCATTTTCTCTTACGCCAATCAATTTTTGATTGTTTGAATTAACATTTATTTGTTAAATTAAAAAATTTATCATTTTATGCATTCTTCTCACTTATGCAAATCAACATTTAATTATTTGAATTAATATTTATTTGGTAAATTAAAAAAATTTATGCATTCTCACTTACGCCAATCAACATTTAATTGTTTGAATTAACATTTTTTGGTAAATTAAAAAAATTTATCATTTTGTGCATTCTCACTTTATATCATTGAATTTTATAAAAGTTAAATTTTTTAATGCCAATTATAAAAATCTACTAGTATTAAAAAAGCAGTCAAGTCAAGTCATATATTCGAGATCAAATCAAGTTTCGAGTCTGCCAAAGAAATAAAAAAAAAGAAAATGATTGTTAATTAACAACCAAGCGAAAGAATAAAAACAAAGCAAAGTAGAAAATGAAACGAATGAACTAACCACTTTAGATCCAGCCGAAGAGCCCAAAGATCTAAAAAAAAAGAGAAAATGGTTATTAATTAACAACTAAGCAAAAGAATAAAAATGAAGCAAAGAAGAAAATGAAACGAACAAACTTACGCCTTGGATCCAGCTGAAGAGCCCAAAGATCTAAAAAAAAAAGAAAATGGTTGTTAATTAACAACCAAGCGAAAGAATAAAATGAAGCAAAGAAATGAAACGAACGAACTTACTACCTTGGATCCAGCCGAAGAGCCCAAAGGATCTAAAAAATATTAGTTGTTAAACAACCAAGTGGCGAAACAATGAAATGGAGACAATTAAATAATGAACTATAGATGTAAGAAAAATAATAGGGGAATAGTTAAGAAAAAAAAAGAAAAAAATACATGCGAACCTATAAAGTATAAAATAAACTTAATCATTGAGTCGACAACTCAATAAAATATCTATTTTTTAAACCTATTAATAGAATTTTCAATAATAAAACCTTAAAGTTGAAGTGTTCGTTTTCGTACTATGATTATATGGTACGATTTTTTAATCAAATGAAGTTCATGTGTAACATATTGAAATGAAATTAAAATCTCAAATTTCATTGGATGGGTCTCAGACCTTGATTTTGCTGGCAACGAACCCATATATGTTATTTGCAAGAAGGTTAGGATAAGAAAAAAACTGCATGAAAATTACTGAAAACGCTACTTAATATTTTCAAAATCTAACTTCCAACCCTTTTTAAGAAAAATCATTGAATGGGAGCTATTCGATTTCTTAATTCTGAAAATTAGGGATAAAAATCATAGTTGAGCAAAAGAAATGAATCCTGCGCTTTACTTCATAATTGTTCTCTTACAAATAAGATTAAAATAGAAGTTAATCTAATTCTATCTTTATATTAGCAAGTACAATAATTCTGGTATTTTGAAAATCAAGTGATATCAAACTTTTTAGACCTCACAACACCAATTATCGTTCCCTTTTTAAAATTATAGTTTCATTACTATAGAAGTCGCAATACAATAGTTGCTAAGACACCTATTTTGATGACAAAATAGAGAAAAAAAATTTATATTAATATTAATTAGCTTTTAGTTTTCTTTGTTTGGTAATAGCAAATATTATTTTATGAATTGATAATTTAATTATTTCCTTTTCTTTGAATAATATATTCATATCAAAAGAAAAATAAAAATTCCCTTTTAGATTAGTAAATTTGTTTTATTTTTGTTAATTACGAACAGCAAATTGTAATTTCGGCAAAGTGCTCTAAAATTAGATAATCATATATTTTGGTAAATCACCAAGTTTATGTATAATTGTTTTAATCATATTTACTTGTAATTGCCCATATGCTTCATGATTTTAAGTCATTTGCATTTTATGCAAAAGACTATATATGGGTCAGGTCGTATATTATCAGTTTTATTTTTAAATTACATACTAAAAAACTTCTGTGGTGAAAAGCACATCTGGGATTATTGTTACAATTTCGGCGGATAAACTGCTTGAAAAAATTTTCTAACCATATCGATTTTTGCCATCAAGCACGCAATTTATTTATTTAATACAGTAATTTCAAAACCTCCATGATAAATTTAATAAATCTTTTTTTTTCAATTAAACTTCAAGAGATGTAGATCAGTCATAATTAAAAACTTGGTAAACGTCTATTCAACTTGTTGAAAATATTTCTGATTAGAATACTTATACTAAATATGTCATCAGTTATGAAGGAATGTAATATATTTGCTGCAGTTTGGTTAAAGAAAAATCTAAACTTTTCTGGATCAACGATTAAAATATATTACATATATGAGTTATAAATTTTGAAAAAAAAATTTTGTATAATTAAGTAAACTCACCTTTAGAATAAATTGTCCATAATGACTTAAAGAATAATGTGAGAATGTGGATAAAGTAAAAGAAATTATATCATAATGACCGCAGGGCAACGGTCACATTATCAAATGAAAAATGTTAATCAAAAAATCGGAAATCAACTAAACAAAATTATTCGTTAACTTACATTAATTAGATAAATAAAATTATTTTTTCTTGCTAGTCGACAAATTGGAAATATTATTAGTTTACGTAATGAACCATCACCGCCTGAATGTTTTAATATATAATAATTCTTTTGAACGATATTATATCGTTATTATTAACGATATAGATTCACAGTATCTTAAGAAAAATTTTTATGAGATTTACACGTTGATCACTTAGTAAAGAGGGTAGCGTCCTGAACTTAGTTTTTTTTATTTATTATTTTTTTTTGTTATCTAGACAGAAGGATATCTTTTGCTAACCATGTCAATACAAAGAAGATGAAACAATGCCTTCACTATCTTCACAAACTTCCACATCAATGGAGCATCAACGGAAGAAGAATACATTCTGTTAATGTCAGACTTTGTCGAAGAATAGAACAAGCTTGTTAAATATTTAGAGAAGCGAGTTTTTAGATCTAGAAATGAAGAATTAGAGATATTACGTAAAGAAGAAATTACCAATTTCTTTGTATGGTAATCAAAA